GACCAAAAAACATACAGAAACAACTGTTCAGTCTTACCTGTGAAAGATAATACCCCGAGGTCTGTTTTTATTATTGTGCGACGGTTTGTAGATGCCCAAGCTGCCGACGAGTCAGGTATGTCGCCTGTCACGATATAGTTGCCTTCACCAATATGGCGGCGACGTTGACGTGCGGCCAATGAGGCGTCTAGAGCTGTGTCCCAATTCAAAGACCGCGTCCTACGAAGGCTGCGTTTGAAGGCCGATTGCGTCACGGCAGCGCGACGAAGGCTGCCGCAATTCGAACGCGACTTCAAGCGCGTCCTCCGTTTCTCCGGCAAATGAAGGATACATCCGATGGATATAAAAAATGCAATAATAATTTTCTTAAACAGATTTGTCGGCCTTTTAGGATACCCCCAACTAAAAGTTTTTGGAATTCCCGCTTCCCGCTTCCAGGACATTAACTGGGAGGAGGCTTTTATGATCTCCAGGAGATACTGTGTCATCAATAAGATTCGCGAGGTTTCATTTAAAATTATTCATTGTATTTATCCAGTAAATGAGGTTATTAAAAGATTTAAGAAGGATATTGATTTGAAATGTGTGTTTTGTAATTTGAATGATGAAAGTATATGCCATCTTTTTTTTATTGTATTTGTACTAAATTATTTTGGTGTGATTTTAAGATCTTCTTTGAAGAGATTTCGGGAATTGACATTACTTTATAAGATAAGAATGTTTTATTTTATTATGATAAGCCTTTAGAGAAGAAATTTTATTTTGTTCTTAATTTGTTTATTATATTAGGTAAATATCACATTCATAAATGTCGATGGTCAAAGAGTACACCTAGTTTTTTACCTTTTAAATTTGAGCTCTGTCAGTATCTTAAAGTGATGGAAGATGTAAGGAACTCTAAAGCAAAAAAGACTATAGATTGTTGTAAAGCCTTGAAACTTTATCCTTTTTAAGGACCTTTGCACTTATTTTGTAGTTAGAGATATGGATTTGTTCTCAATACCCCTCTGTATATAGTTCATATTTTTTGTTGTTGATTTATTTCGTTTTTTTCTCTTTTTTTCTTCTTCCTTAATTTGCATTATTATTTTTTTACAATCATTGTGTCTTTGAATTTATTGACATTTTTGCTTTTATTGTCAATTTGTGTGTGAATTGTCACTAAATAAAGCATTTAAAAAAAAAATAATAATAAAAAAATACATCTGATGGATCCTTCGCAGCCTACCCTATCCCAGAATTCATAGCGCGCCAGTGAATACGGGGTTTTATTCAAACAAAGTGGGTGACGGTTCTGTGGCGGCCGACTTAGTTCTATAAATGTAAGTATTGTGTTTGAATGTACTGAAATAGCTTGTATTTTTTTCACTTGTATTTTTATTTTATTATTATTATTATTGTTGTTATTATTTTAGCGGCTACTGGGCGTGGGCACATCAATACAGCGTATTTTTTGTCTCACTGTACAAAAATAATTACTATTTTTTTTTTTTTTGTAAGAGGTAGGTTTAGGGTTGAGGTAGGCAAGACTCGTCATACAATTGCATAACACCAAAGGTTTTTTGGTAAAACACGAATGATACTTAAGATTTGATTATGAAATGTCATTTTTGGGATAGGCCTTTCACTTTCATTTTGAGTAACTTACCATAGGGACAACACCCTATTTTCTCCATAGAACCTGCGTTCATTTTTTAGTGGAACAGTGGTGAAAATGAAGGCCTCTGATTTGCTCGGAGTGTGTGCACTTTTCCTGTCTGGTAAGACATTGTTTGTTACACTATTTCTTCATTTAAACGATAAAAACAAATGGCGCTGTGACGTAGACTAGTTATAATTCTGTGCCAGTTTTGATAACTACCACTCGGTATAGCTGTTAAGTAGCTGAGTGTTTCAGATGACACTGTTGTAGTCATGGCCATATTTAAGCTTCTGTTTTCTGTATGTTTGTCCGTCCGCTGTCCAGTTCCGAAAGGCCTACGGAAAAGCCCGGATGAATGCAGAAACACGAGAAGTTAAATGGCGTCGCTATTATAGAGAACAATGTCACTTATTATGAATATTTAACAGTAGGCCCGATATGAAGGATCTTATTTTGTTCGCTGTTTTTAAATGCTGTATATGTGGGACGGAGGGTTTGGGGCGGGGATTGCACAAATTAATTATTAGCGATCTAAGTAAATCTAAGTCAAAAAGGGCTATAAAATAGTCTATAAAAGTGCAATTTTATGCATAAGCACGATATTTGAAAAAGTAATATAAAAAATGTTTATTTTCTGTTAATAGGCAGCTGATATCATGTCAGGGAGGGCAGGGGTGCACGTTTCTGACTGTGAGAAGCAGGGGCAGATTAAAGTGGTCAGGGGCCCCTAGGCTGCTCTTTGTGTGAGCTTTACTGGAGAAATGTATTTAGTGCCATACATGCTCCACACGCAAATAGTAAGGTGAACTAATATATACACACACACATTGAGACAGCCAATCCTACAGTGTTTCCTCTACATTCCCAGTGTCCCCACAGGATTTTGTGAGACTGTGGTGGGTGCACATCGGTCCCTTTAGGGGGTTCCGGGGGTATGCTCCCCCGTAAGAAAATTTTGTTCATTTTAAATTTAAATACATAAATCTGGTGCATTTTGAGGGCAGAATCAAGTGACTAGATCAATGAAGAAATATGTGCTCTTGTAAACAATTTCGTGCTAATAGTAATTTATTTATTGGTTGCATAGATGTGAATGTGATGGTAGTGCACAATTTTCACTATATACATTCTTATAAAAGCTACAAATGCTATTCTATCAAGAGCAGGGAGTGATTTTCTCCTTGTCTTTTGTTGTTTGATTATCATTAACGCCGACACTTAACTCAAGACACGAGACGAGACACAAGATTAGATTCACGAGAACGAGACGAGGTCAAGATTTTTACACATTTAAAAAAAATTCTCAATGAAGAATTATGAAGAAATATTAATTATCATATGCAGTAAAAGACAACAACACTCAAACATTGTAAAGGGTTTTGCCACAAACTCAACTGACTGGCTTCTCTCCTGTATGATTTCATGTGAGTCTCTTCAGACCTTAGAACTGTACATGAATTATGAGCTTCTAGAACGTTTGACCTCCTAACTGAAGTCCTTAAACATAGAACATAGAAATAAAAACAGTATTAATAACAAATAATAAACAACACAGGTTTTTCTTAGTCATATTACAGTTCTTTCAAAATGCTTACACAGTTTTTGAAACTATGGCTCCATTTCTCAAAACTCTACAAACAAAACCACAAAACACACACACAACATGCAAAACGTCACACACATCTTGCAAAAGCAAACACTTGTATCAAAACTATTTTAAATTTTCTAAAAATTTTATTTTTGTGTAGTAACTCTACACACAAATATAAAATAATTAGCCACAAACACGCCAAACTACACACAGATGTGAAAAATGTAAAACACTACTCTGGTGTGTCTTTTGCTTGTTACTCACACACACACACACACATTCATATGCACATATACCCTGTATATACAGTATGTATGTACAACTGATGATTTTTACACAGTTATGTAACTGAACTGATTCAATACTGAACTGACTTGAGCTGTAGAATGACTGACTTGTTAGAGCTGCTTTACAGCAGAATTTGATACTATTCTATATACAACCCTTTTTGAGGGTTCAAACAAAATAACCCTTTAGGGTTCTTTGTAGGACGGAAAAAGGTTATATATAGAACGTTTTAGGGCTCCCATCATGGGATCATTTTATAGATTTAATTTTTGTTTTATTTTATGACTTAAACAGTTCATATAGATACTTTATCACAAGAAAAACTGAAATATAACTATTATGTGATCATTTAAGACATTTTTATTAGCATTTACAATGACACAACTTTTTTTTTTTCTTAAATTGACAAAAAAAATGCATTCAATTTTAGAAATAGTTTTATCAAACTAGGGCTGGACGATATGGCCAAAATTTATATCACGGTATACTTCTTAATTTCGATACGATATAATTCCGATATCGATATCGATATGAACATTATTTTAAAAAGCCTCATAAAAACTGCCAAGAACACCCACAACAGATGTCTGTACCTACAAACTTGTGAAAAATTAATTTGCCAAGTCTATGAAACCTCCTATAAAATTATATAATATTTTAGAAAAAAAACAGTACAAATGAATTAATGTTCACCTTTTATTTGTATTTAGCCTTCATACAAACAAGAAATGTGAAATCACTGTCAAAAATCTCAGACTCACCTAACTCATATTAATATCTTTTAACTTTGAACTATAGGCTAGCATACACTACCAGTCAAAAGTGTTTGAACAGTAAGATTTTTAATGTTTTTAAAAGAATACTCTTCTGCTCACCAAGCCTGCATTTATTTGATCCAGAATACAGCAAAAACAGTAACATTTTGAAATATTTTTACTATTTAAAATAACTGTTTTCTATTTGAAAATATTGTAAAATGTTATTTATTCCTGTGATTTCAAAACTCAGTTTTTAGCATCATTACTCCAGTCACATGATCCTTTAGAAATCATTCTAATATGCTGATTGAGAAACATTTATTATTTTTATTATTATGCTGAAAACAGCGGAGTAGAATTTTTTCAGGTTTCTTTGATGAATAGAAAGTTCAGAAGAACAGCATTTATCTGAAATAGTCACAGGAATAAATTACTTTTTAAATATATATTCAAATAGAGAGCAGTTATTTTAAATAGTAAAAATATTTCAAAATGTTACTGTTTTTGCTGTACTTTGGATCAAATAAATGCAGGCTTGGTGAGCAGAAGAGACTTCTTTAAAAAAACATTAAAAAT